CAAAACCATTTGTGAAGTGCTGGATTTTACATTATACCAAAATAACCTCACTGCTTCTCCATCTGCCTAGGATAACTGCCAGAAATTAAAACAAAGAAAGATGTACAGTCTTTGTAGTCAATCAAGAGCTTCAAATTATATTTTTAAGCTGAGATAAAACAACAGCTGTTTTGAAGAAATCCTGTTTAAAGAACTGTTGATGCCCCTTTACAAACAGAATATTTTTAACAAGTCTGTTGCCTCCAGAACTCCTACAAAGAAAGTCTTAATAGGCAACAGTTGCTCTCAAGTATCCTCTTGAATATAGCCATCAATTCCAGTGCTTGATGCTGGATTTTAAAGATGATGCCTTTTTGCTAGCAACATGAATTTTATGGCCCATTATAGAGAAGTAGCTAGCTCAATTCATCTAGTATTTTTGTTACCAAAAATTGTGCACAAAGGCAGAAGTTCTGTTCTTAAGAAGTTTTTTGCCCTGCATTATTTCTGTGAATTCAGATCCTGTGTTATTGTGGTATTGCTTATGATGAACAGAGTCTTCTGAAATTCAAACTCACACAGCTATTTTCAAGGAGCTGTGAAAGATTTAAATATATTTGGGCAAAGGGGAAGGATTTCAACTTCTGTATTAAAAAAGGGTGTTTTTAGGCATTCTGGCTGGTGCAGATCTCCTAAACAAAGCAGTTCACCCAACTAGAGATGCCTTTGTCTCATCAGCACTGGAGCTAAAGCTCTGCTGACATTAGGGATTCATAGATTGCATGTGCTTAAATATATGTGTTGCATTACCTTTGATCTAGTGCGGATTAGGATTGTGTCTTTTAATTCCACAAGAGTCCCATAAACCTTTCAACATCTGCACAGGGTTTGTAAATGGTCCTCTTGTTTCATGAAGGCATTTATAGGAGATTTGTTCTCATGATATTTGCATCAGCCATTAGTTCCTGAAAACCAAATACAAGTAGAAATCAAATACAAATGAACAAAACCAAAAATGCCTTATAAATGCTCCAATATTGTAGGTTCAACAGCTAGCAATGGAACAAAAATACAGCCAGCTCAACCACTCTGTGTCCCGACACCACTACATTCCAATAGGAAAAGGTCAGGAAAGATTATGAAGTTCTGGGAAAAGATCCATCTTAGCTCTTAATGTTTATTAACACATTTTATAAAGTCCATGAAGCTTTTTAGAGATTATTTGGGATGATGGAAGCTATCGAAATGTTATGATCCCAGATGACCCTCCCAAACAAAAGAAAAATATATGTTGCTATGAATCTGCATAAAGCTGTTTGGATTCTTTTTCCAACACTCTGTTAGCTTTCCTTCTATGTCCCTCTTGTGGTGACTGAGCAGAAGTGTAACATCTGCAATGGAATGGCTACACCACAGTCTTCCAAATTTTGCTTTTTTGCAGCATTTTTGTGCTTTTTTCATTAAAAGACTTTCTCTTTCAAGATTCTTTGATATTTAAAATTTCTCAGTATGCTTTGACAAGAAAATAAACATGTGCTAAAATGCAGGAGGGAGTGACAAAACAGGCAATCAAGCGACTAAATATGCAAAATAAGTTTACTGATTACGTTTATACTCATATAATATTTTAATGCACTGCAAAATCACATATAGAGTTTTGTATGATTGTATTGAGTTTTGCAATGTGTGAGCATTTCTTATGAATTCTTTGTCGAGAACATGCGATCTCCACTTGATGGACACCAGATAACACAAAAATGCGCTTTATACTTCCTGTCCCCTAACCAGAGCTGTTTTACCCCAGGATAAGAACACTTGTGTGTTTTAGCCAACCCTGCCATGCAAAGCAGCAGCTCCGCAAAGCTTTTTCACGTGCAGTTTGATTGGCTCTGCCCCCTGCACGTCACCGCGACGCTTCCCAACACTGTCTCCAAGGCTTGGAGTGTGCACAGACCAATCACTCCGCTCTGGTTTTGTAGCAGCTTTTTCACGCTTCTCTTGTGCACTCCTGAATGATGCTAGCAAATCCCAGCACTAATTTCTCTTGGAATTGAAATGGATTTCAAGGAAACTCTTTTGGCACAGCTAATGATTCTGAGACAGGATTGAATTATTTCTACCAGCTAACCTGCAGTACACAGAATTTCTGCACTTACAGTATAGGGAAATCTTCAAGATAAACAGTTTAAACGTTCTTATTCTTGGAAGCAAGCAAAAGCATCCTCTTAAAATGCTTCTATATCTGTTCTCCTGGGCATTTTCCAGAACTGTGATTAAACAATTACGCTACGAGATACAGATAGGGCCTCCCCCGAAGTCATGCCTCTACCCTGGTATAAACACATCAACCAGGAGCCCGGTGGCCGTGACTAAGTGCCGGTTGAACCCAGCTTGCCCTTGCCGAAACAGAGTGAACTGGAGCTTTTCCACAGCAGCACAGGGGGGTTTTTCCTTTTCAGCTGCGTGGGCGGGAACGGGCCCTCCTGGGGCCGGGGATGCGCAGACCCCGGTGCAGCCCTCGCGTTCAGCACCGCAGACAGCAGCGCGGGGAGC